CCGCAAACAGCGAACCGAACCTCAGCCACAACCCAACCCACAGCCAGAGTAAGCGACGCAAGCCATGAGCCAAATGACACCAGCAACACCACCAAAATAGAATTGGGCATAGAAAGTCGAATCATGTGTAAATTAGTTAAATATATATTTAAATTCTAAATTAACAATTAACCAAATGAGCACGTCATGTGCTTCTACGGCATTTCCTAAAACCTTCAATACTTGGCCGAAGGATTCAGAATAGCAATCAGTCTGTTTTCCAACTTAATCCTTCACTCCAAGGTTGCAAACTTGTTAAAGACCGCCCGTTGGAACAGTTGCCAGAATTGAGCTGTTCCATCGGTTGGCCAAGTACTGAAGCCGGCCAAGAACCTCTGTGGGTCATCCCCAGATCATCTATAATATTGCAGAAGTTTGCTATTTTGTGAGTCTTCCAAGAAATGGTGGATAGCCTCGTCTTGCTGGTGATGAGCTGCAGCACGAGTTACCATATCATATAGATACCAAGATATTTCATCATGCAACGCCATTGTTCTACAATCTACATAATTTATTTAGATAATTTCATGAAAACCAAAAAACATTCATTATCGTTCTACGAGGAATATTCGTTCTCCTGGGAATATTCGTTCGCCTGGTAATTCTCCAGTGCCTCGTACTTCTGCAGTTCCTGCAATTGCTGGTACAGATCATAGAGAACTCGAGCGCGCTGCTTTGCCAGCTCCAGGGCTCGATGTTGAGCAAGGATCAGCTTAAAGGACATGCAGGCATAGTAGCAACCGAGGGTAATCATCAGTGCCATTAGGAAAGCACATGCGTATAGCTCACAGATTCTCTCATAGCTCAATTGCAGCCTGTAGATGGTTTGTCGGAACTTGTATAGCAACAAGCTGTAAATAATTGAAAATATTGACACATAGACGTAAACCTTGTGATACCATCTGGTAAAGCGCATCCATATCGCGCGTAGCATAGCAGCTAAGGCGATGGCATATACGACTATGTCTACGTAGAGTCTGGCTAGCATCGACATCCATTCCTCATAGAGCAGGTCCATCACGAGCTGTAATTTTCAATATTTGAGCTACTCTCCAGTGGGCGGCTTTTACCGCCTGGCCAACTTAGCAAACTAGCTCAAATCAGATGCTGCTCCATCAACGTTCGCCGTCTTACACACACTTTACACTATTAATTATTGTTTATACGTTCATCAACTGCCATCAAGAAGAGAGTTATTTGCTTAATCTCCAGCAGCCATCTAAATCTGCGACCGTCTCAAGCTGAGCACAGGAGCAGCCCCAGCGACGGTCCTTGTCATGCTCATGGTGCAAACATGAGACCACAAATGACAAACGTTGCGGACCCTAAGCCCGTGCTCCATCCCATCCCAGTGGGTGCCTCCAAGAAGCATTACATAAAGGAACAAGCGCTACGATTCTTAGAAGTGACTAAATATAAAACCTTCAGTAGGGAGAGCAGCACCATGGGCGGCATGACGCCAAGAGCGGATGACGCAGCAACGTGAGCAAAAAAAAAAAAAAGTCACAGCCAGAAGCGATGCATTAAACGGGGCGGTAGTCGGCGGGAGTACATGTCCTCCGGCGGATCGAGGCGGCGCTGCACGTGAGCATTGGTCAGGTGGCAGGGGAGTTCGAATTTCCCTTAGCGTGGGAAGAAGAAGGAGCGCAGTCGCAGTGTTTGTTCACGTATGCGTAAAAGGAAGCTAGAATGTTTGTGACAGCAGTCACAGCGCGGGGTTCAGGGAATCTCCCAGTCGGCACTCTCGCTTAAAGCAGCCTTTTCTTTTTGCCTGTGCTTTTGCACAATTATTAAACCCGACACTAAATCCTTACAAAATGGGCTGCTTGTATATCTCCATATATAAAACTATTTATCCTGCCCGACTGAGTGACTGCTTAGTCAAGGCACAACCAGATCCGCAAGAGACAGGAATCTGAAACTTTAGAAAACTGACTAAAAATGCACACTTTAAATTTCAGATTCAAACTTGCGATTCTTCATTTACCAACTCAAGTATCTATGTAGCATATAACTTGAGACACACAATATAGTATGGAATTTTTATAAGTTGGGTGGAAAATGTACGTCTATGATTTGAAACTTGGCTTGGACCGAACTAGGCCGAAAAATACCAGCTGGCATACGCATATATAATATATATATGCTAGCTGGCATTTCCCGGCCTTGTCCGTGGCAAGTTTTCTGCTTCAAATCTTAGAACATAATTTAAATCTATTCGTGCTGTCATGAACTCAACGTCTAAAGTTGTATTTTGCAAAGATATTTGAAAATATGTTTAGAGTCGAATAAAGAAGAAAGTTGGAGTCATGGCCGTTAGTTTTGTGGTGAGAATTTCACACGTATTTTCCATCCAACAGCGGCGAACTTTGCGCAACTGGGGATACTTGGATTCTGCGAAAAGTGTGATACATGTCTTAAATGTTTTTTAAAAAAAGAATATCTGTTATGAAAATTTAACCCGAAACTTAAGCCACCGAATCTGTGACTCCCATTTGCTCCAAGAAGGAGGAATGGAGGGATTTCTGCAAATGATTTTGAGGCCAAACAAAAAAGTTGCCTACAATTGTTCTGCACTTTTAGGCGACTTTTTCACACGTGCACCTCCATCCCAGGTAACTACAGTGAAATTTTCAGATTTCCAGCTCTAACGGCTTGGATCAGTCAGGACAAAGAGTTTTGTACATAGAAATAAGATATGGGTCACAAAAACACACATGTATGCAAAATTTATGCTAAGCAGATGCTTCTTCTACTTCTTCTCCGGCCAGTGTAGGGCATAGATATGACAGCCAAATGTGTATATCTATCAATTGCCAAGTGTCAAGACTACGAATTCAATATTCAGTTTTGAGTGGGAATAAAATCGTTTCTGTTTACAAGTTAGGTGTACCCGGATCCTATAATTAGTTGACTTAAGAAAAGCGTGTGCAAAACTAATTTTAACAATATTAACAAAATAGGACAATATATTGACAATACGACAGACGGACTTCTAACGGGATCAGATAAACATATACATACATATAGGAGACATTCCCACAAAATCATCAACGATTCTCAAAGTTACAAAAACCGGAAAGGAAATATCATTTATGACAATTCTTGAAGCTGAAATTAAACTGGCAAAAGGAGAATTCCTATAAATGAAACCAAATTGAATAATTTAGTTTTGTAATTTTTATTGTTTTTTATTTTTAAATTAATGTTCTTGTGTTTTTCATGTTTTTGTTGTGTGTGTGTGTGTGTGTGTGTTTTTGTGTGTGGGTCTTTGTTTGAATTTGGTTAGGTTTTTGTTTTTAAATGTAAATTTTCATTTTGTTAAGCGAAACGCTGAAATTGTTGTTCATATATATTTTCATAGCTTATTATAATTTTTGTTCTTTAGTTTTGTGTATATTTATTTTTTTGGGGAAGGGTATTTTTCCATTTGAAAACGTGTTCAATAATTATTAACTAAAGTGAGTTGTTTGTGTGTGTGTGTCCGTGTGTATGTGTGTGTGTATTTTGTGAGTATTTTTTTTTTTTTTTTTGTTAATTTTTTTGTGTGTTTTGAATATTATTTACTAAAACGTTTTCAAGACTTTAGCTTAGATTGTTCTCAATATTTTTGTTAGCACGAAAACAATTTGAAACGAACTTTAAACCATTCGAGAAAAGTACACAGAATGCACAGCTATGCGTACAGGTAGAACATAATATCGAAAGGAATTCAGCAATACATACATACAATACATACAAGTACAATTAGTTAAGTACATATTTGCCAAAGCACAGGGAAAAGATTCGCAAGCACTGGGAATTGTCATAGTCAGGCCAGGCTCTGGGACCTTGCTTTGAACGTGTGCGACAGGTAAAAGTTCTAATCAAGGCTCTAGGTGTGACAGGCTTGAGCTGTCCATCTAGAATGCTGCTCTCTTCAAATATACCTCATGCTGCTTTCTTTTCTTTTTTGTTTTGTTTTGTTTTGTTTTGTTTAGTTGGTTTCTTTTCTGCTGCTTCTTATTGTTCGTGTGTGTCGGGTGATTAATTGTAAAATAATTTAGATATTCAATTGCAGCTAAATGTTGATTAATTTTACAATTTATGCATAATAATCATTGTTTCATACGAGAGAATCCTTTCTTTTTTGCTTTGTTTTGTTTTGTAAATAATTAATTATTTTAATGGGTGGCGTCGCTCGCTAAAAGCATGTTTTATATTTTTTATATAATTATTTTCACTAAATTAAAAAACACACATACATATATATATATATATATATATATATTTATATGTGCTATATATATATATATATATATATCTATATATGCTTTTGTTTCAATCAAGTATTATGCTATGTTGTTTATAGATGTTCTTGAGTGTCTCGTTTTATAATCGTATTAAAATGCTAGTGTTGGACTGAAGAACGGTACTAAATAGTTAATATAAGGACTCTTGGTCTAATAGGACACAGGAGCACTGGAGCTGGGTTTTCGGGCTTGGGTTCACAATTGGAGGCTATCTGCGACGTGAGTCCGGTATATAGAACAATTTGTTTATATGCTTGTCTACATGCAATATATACATATACATATGTACATAAATAAATATATATATGTATATATAGCTCATATGGGCTTAGCTGATCAGCATATATTTGCCATATGCCAGTTGTAACTTCTATTTTATCATTTTGCGTACATTGGGTTGGGTTGTTTGTCTTGTTTGCTGTTGTTTATTTCTGTTCTTAACTACAACAACAATAACAACAGTTCAACATGCATTGTTGTTTGTTTGTGTTGTGGTTATATATAAACATTTAATTGTATTTTAAATGGGACAAAAAATTTTGATTTATTTTACTAAATTTTTGTTTGTGTTGTATTTTTCGCTTATGATTTATTACGTTTGCAAATTGTTTTTTTTTTTTTTTTTTATTCAATCTAATGCGTTAGGTTTTTTATTTGTTTGCTTTTCCCTTTTGCCTTTTTGATTTGTGACACCGTATTGCGTGCGTGTCTGTTATTAGGTCTGAATTAATTTTTGTTTTTACTTTTTTCTTTTTTTTTTAATAATAATACATATTTGTTACATATGCAGTTAGGCATTTGCTTTGCTTTGTATTTTGTGTGTTTTTTTTTATTTTATTTTGTTTTCGATTATGCTAAGATTTTGCATTGCGCCCAATGTACAAGCAATCATACACACATACACAATACAAGGCCACACACACACACACACACATCGCTTACGCACGCTGCATATGCATGTGTGTGTAAACAAACATGCATTTGCGATCCATAAGAGAAGAGCAGAGAAAAGCTTTTAACATAGGGAAAGCTTTCGGAAGAACACAGCTGCATGCATGCATGCATGTGTGTTTAAGTGTGTGTTTAAGTGTGTTTAAGTGTGTGTGTGTGTGTGAGTTGGGTGAAAATAAATTTAAGCCCTGTTTTCAAACAAATAGTTTATTTAACCCTTGCTATTCCTACATATGCGATTTGGGTGAACTTTTTAATTTTTAGACTTTGCTTGTTTTGCTCTTTCCGTGCTTCTTTCTGTATGTGTGTATGTGTGAAGCTGTAAATTGAATGTTGCTTTATTTACTTTAAGCCCCGTTGCATAAGAGGCGAGCAAGAAAAAAAAAAATGTTAATAACAGTTCACTGTAAACAACATTTACATTAACATGGCGCCGCCGCTGTGCTAACCCGATGTGCCGGCTGACGTTGCGTCAGCTTCTGCTGGTGCTGCGTCGTTGTCGCCGCTGCCATTGCTGCTGCCGCCATCATCACCTCCACCACCACCACCACCACCACCCTCCTCGTCACCTGCAGCGCTGCCTTCAGCCACACCATTGCCGCTGGCGCTGCTGTTCAAGGCGCTGTTCGACTGCGAGCCTGCGAAGGTTGTTGCAAAAGAGATAGAGTAGACAAAAATGTTTCTTTGTGAATTGTTCTTATTGCTGCTGCTGCTGCAGCTACAGCTGTTGTTGCTGCTATCAGCAGCTGCGAGTTGACAGAAAATAACACATTTAACAGGAAATGCTTATATGAAATAACGTTATGTGACAGAGTGAAATAGATAGAGAGAGTGAAGAGCGAGCCGAAGGAGCCAATATATTCACAAGCATGCAAAATTGGGCGCCTGCACAGCATGGAGCAGACACAACGGGGGGGAAAAGAAAATATATGTCGCTGCCGCCACCGCCACCCGCCCGCTCCCTGTGCTGCACACCCACTAGCAACAACAAAAACACAAAATGAGAACAAATAAAATAAGGAAAAAATAGGTGAATTCGTTTATATGGTTTTTCTTCGCTTTTTTTTTTTGTTTTTATTTTTATTATTTTTTATTTTTGTTTTTCAGCATTTTTGTAATTTTGCTCAGTGTTCCATGTCTCATCATATTTATCTTTATCAACAACATTCTTTTGTCTATGCATTATACCATGAATATTATTGGCATTACAGATGTAATATGTTTACATAACGGTGTATGTGTTTTCTTTATATGTGTCTAATTGTTGTTATCTCAATTAAATTAATGTTAATCTTTTATTATATATTGTTGTTGCAGCTCCTCTACTTCTTATTCTTGTTCTACTTGTTGTTGTTGTTGTTGTTGTTGCTGTTTTTGTTCTTTAACCAATTTGTTTGTGTGTATGCCTAAATTACTAGGAAAATGTTTACTCAATTTAGTATGTAGTATGTGTTCTGCTTTTAATTGTTTATATGTATGTAATTATAATAATAATAATAATAATAATTAGTTTAAAGTAGTTTTAATAAACTATATAAATAAATATAAGTTTTATTTTTACAATGTTTCGCACTTGCATTTGTTAATTGTTGTTAAGTTTGCAACTTGATTTATTCAGACAAAACAAAAAAAAAAGCTATAAGAAATTGATTAAGCTGGTTATCGGTATCGGTATCGGTATCGGTATCGGCATCGGAATCCGTTATCTGTTCTCCAGCTGCCTCTCTGTCTGATCTTTTGTCTAATTCTGATCCTACATTTGAACTCAAATGTTAACATTTGTCTGAAATACATACACATGTTTACATATATCTACATATTGCAACTAAACCAGCGATACGAGTACAGTCATATATAGTTGTTTATGTATGTATGCAACAATATGTGTATATGTGTCTCAATGTTAATTTATAAAGAAGCATATTGTACATACACAACTACACTATATACTCAGACGGGCAAAAGTCCACGCACAACCTCCACATTCACTTTCCAACACTGACAAGGCCAAAAACAGTGTTTCTTTTAATTTTGATTTTGGTTTTGATTGCGTTTTAAATGTTAACAAATTCCTCTTTCCATCTGCACAGGACATTCAGCTGAGTTTTAGGCAAATTACAATTGAAACTATTATTAATATTGTTGTTGTTGTTGTTTTTTTTTTTTTGTTATAATGCCTCTGTTTCTTCGAGCAGCATGGGGTTGTTACGTGCACTTGTGGCCGCCTCTCTAAAGGCATACAACAGCTAATATTCTCAGACTGTGCTCATCCGAATGATATTATTATATTAATAAAAATTAAGTTTTTACATAAAAAATTGTTATTTATGCTGTTGGTGTATGTGTAATATATTTTTTTTATATTTTATTTTTTTTTTCTGTTTTGTTTTTTTTTTTTCGTGTTTTATGCTTTAAGTATTTCTCTAAATTTAATATACATACATTTATTGTGTATTTATTATTTTAAATAATTTGATGTATGCATTTTTTGTTGTTGTATTTTTGTTTCTTTCTTTTTCACTCAATGCACTCTGTTTTCTTTGTTATTTATTACAAAATAATAATTATTTAATAAAAATAATTTATTTATTTAATTTATATTTTGTATATATAATGCGTTTTACAAAAAAAAGGTTATAATTAATTTATTAGTTAGGTTTAGATATATTGCAAGGCATTCAATTGCTTGCTTTTGTTTGTTTTGTTGTTTTGTTTTTGTTTATGCAATTAATTATAAAATTAACATAATATTAACATTATGTTACTGATTTTTATGCAGCCAAAGCTTATATGTTGAATATTTTGTGTAATTGCTGTCACGTTTCTTTCTTTCGATTTTTTATTTTTTGTCGTTCACAATCAACAAAATTAGTCATTATTAAATTGTGCAATTAAATAATTTGATGTTTTTGCTTTTATTATATTTTTGTTTTTTTTTTTTACTACACATTTCGTTTTTACCATACTAAAATAGATCGGTTACAGGAAAATATAATAATTAAAACAAAAATATGTGAAATTTTTAAATTGAAATTAAATATTCAATGACTTTAAGTTTATAAATGTATGCATGTAGATTGGGTATATTGGTGTGCGTGTGTGTGCATGTGTGTGTGTGTGTGCATGTGTTTGTGTGTGTGTGTGTGTACTATAAAGGGCGACAATTCCACAGGGTTTTGCTTTTACCGCTGAAAGCTGTCAATATTACAATATTTCGCCTGCTAATTTATTTAATTTTCTTTATTAATTAATTTAAAAAAAAAAGTAATTATAATAATAATAATAATAATAATAAAAACAAGCCAACATTGGCATTAGCAATGACATTGCTATTACAGTTATTACTTTAGTTGTTTTATTTTAAGTTTAAAATAAATTTTATTTTATCTATGTAAAATTTTGCATTACATTTGATTTTTTTTTTTTGCTTGCTTTTTGTTTGTTTGTTTTTTTTTTTTTTTTTTTTTTGTTTTTGAAGCTGGTTGTTTCTTCCTCTTTCTTCTGTGTTTATGCATGAGTTTTACAAATACGTATTATTTTTCTATTTTATATGCATTTTCCTTTTGTTTTTTTTTTAATTTTATTTTTTATTATTTTAATGATCTTTTGCAAATTGCTTTAAATTAATTATGTAATTAATTTTATATTGTGTATATATCAATGTATTTAATTATATTTAGTTTTGCCGGTTGTGTTTGATTTATGTGTTGTGTTGTTGGTTTTTCTTTTATTTTCTTTTGCATTTCCCATTCTTTATCTGTTTATAGTATACGCGTCTCTCTGTATGTGTATGTGTGTGTGTGTGTGTGTGTGTGGGTGTGTGTATAATATATATATATATATAGATATATTTAAACATATATATTTTGATATAGACATAGATATATATACATATATATATATATATATATTTGTTTTATCGTATGTTGCTATTGCCCCTATGAATCTGTAAATAAACGAAAAAGAAACAAAAGAGAAAACGAAAAATAAAGTAATTTAATTAAATAGAAAAACAAAAAGTTATAAACCAAATACTTATACCCAACAAAACAAAAATAAAAAAGAAACACTGGCAACTTAAATTTACAGAAGTTTTCTTTAATTGCTAGCACAGGATTTAACAGAAGGTAAAAGGATAGAGAGGCAGGGGGGGGGGGGCACGGAACATCCATTAATATATATGTAATCGGCATACGAAATGGCACATGCATGATCAAAAAAAAAAAAAAATAAAATAAAATAAAACAAAAAAGAAAAAGCTGTCTCCATCGGCTAGCCGAAGATTGGATACACTTGCAGAAGTTTCAAGCCAATCTCCTCTATACGATACAGGTGTAACATCAAGTCGGACTTTCTTTTATTACAATGAAAAAGCTAACACACTTTTCATGTAGCTGCCAGTAGGCGTCTCAGTCCCCGCACTCTATAGCCAACAACATATATGGCCCAGGTTCGAATATATTCTATTTATTAAGCTTTCGCGTCCACAGCATCTGCGATATAAAGAAAACCCGAATCGAGCAGATCTAGCCCATTCAATACACACAAGTTTTCATAGGCTATATTTACTTTATATCAGACAAACTAGATGGGATTGCTCCTCCACCCCCAAGTCATCCACACATGTATCATAATCTGCTGGTTTATTTAAGAAGAGAACACATAACAACAGAAAGAAGATGAAAGAAAGTAAACAAAAAATGTTTGTTAACAGCAAGGAATTGGGGGTTAAAGAAAGCACGGGCACGGTTGGCACTCGCCCGATGATGCAACCCAACGCGAGAGACTCCGCTCAGCCTGGGAAAGTATTCTCCAAAAGGGTGGTTAGCGGAGGGGAGCGAGTAAGAAGAAGGGCAGTGAAAATTCTGAGACTTTTATTGAGAACGAATATATGACAGGCTGTTGTTATTGCATATGGATTGGACAGCTCTTTATTGGCCTGAATTGAACTGAACCGGTAATGGGGGTTCGAATGGGTCAAGGATTGCACTTCTAGGTTTAATTAGTTTTGCGTCGCAACTTGGCCCCGCAACGAATCGAAGTTCGGTTTCGGTCGGGATCTATAGATGGTTGCGATTGGGGTTTCGATTTCGTCTTGCTGCACTTGAATTTGATCTTGTTTTTGTTTTTGGTCTTGATAGGCTTGAGCTGTCTGGGAACGGATCTTGCGCTGGGTCTTCGTCAAGCTTGATGGGTTATGCGAGTTACACAAGTGGGACTCAACTAAAAGCAAGCAAACCGAGAGAGAGAGAGAGAGAGTGAGAGTGTGCAATAGAGTGAGAGAGACAGACAGACAGACAGACAGACAAAGAGAGGGAGAGAGAGAGAGTGAGGCTGATCTGTTACGACTGTCGGCTCAGATGCGAACTGGGCACACGCTTACTCACCTGTTATGTTGGCGCCACCAGCATTGCTTGTGGCAATTGCGCCGGCTGCTGTGGCAGCTGCCGCAACGCCACCACCGCTACCACCGCCGCCGCCGCCACCACCGCCGGCGACAGTTGCTGGCGCATTTGATTGCTGCGCATTTGGAGCCGATGCAACAGCAGATGCGACGGCAGTTGCATTACCACTGTTGCTGCTGCTGTTGTTGCCCTGAACGCCAACGTTTGGGGCGCCACCGGCAACTGCACTGGCAGCTCCTACTGCTGCTGATGCGGGCGCCTGTTGCTGTTGCTGTGACTGAGCGGCACCATCAGCGGACGCACCGCTGCCCGTTGAGGAGACGCTGGTTGAGCCACTGGCCGCGGCGGGTGCTGCACCGCCGGCCGAGGCGCGATTAGCACCGGTTGTGTGTGCTGCATTCTGCAGATGCTTTGGCAACAACTGTGGCACTAAGCTAGGCTGTATCGAGAGTTCTGCAATGCAAGGTGTGTCAATAGATGAATGCGAACCAAGCATATCCGAGGCCAAACTCACCATGCTCTGTAAAGTTAAATAGTGGCGGCATGTCGCGGCCATTGGGCAAGGTGTGATTGCCCTCCATGCGCAGCTCATCGAAGAACGGATGTGCACAGGCCTTGAGCGGCGTGATGCGGGCGCTGGGCGTGTACTCGAGCAGCTGCGACACCAAGTTGATAGCTTCTGTCGGAGTGCGTATACGGAAAACCTGTGCGATAACAAAATCCAATTAGTTCACAATAATTATCGATGCGATGCAATTGCAGCTGACATTTCTTAGGGGCTGGGCTGGACTGAACCGGGCAGGCTCGCACGCACCGTGAGTTGAAGTGGGTTGGAATGAGACTATCACAATATTAATCACATATATAACATGGATCTATGTATTATATATAGTACATATTGCTGTGACGTCCCTGGGCAACATGGACACAGGGCGGGGCGCAATAAAGAGGCAAGGCAACAATCAAGTCAAGTCAAATCAATTTAAATTCAATATATAAACTATTTTATAACAGGGACAGCTAAAGCTTTCTATATACATATGCATGTATGTGTGTAGTATCCATGATTTATGAAATTTTCGTATGCTTTAATTAAAGATTCTGGGCTTAAATCGGATTAGTTAAAGTGCATTACATTAAACTGTTATACCCTCTGCATATCTGCCTATTTCTTACTGTTACAAATACCTACACGACTTTCACTGTTACTGTAAACTAACAGCTGTTATACCCATCGTAAAGAACTATTATATATGTGACTTGATTCAAATATGTATAGTACTTTGATCAGTGTTGCCAACTACACACAACAAAAATAGAACTGATCGACAGATCGAACTGAAAACAAATGAAGCGCACGCATGTGCTTGTAATAGCTTCCTGGTATATCGTCTAATATTCAGGGCCCTAATATGAGAAAGCAAAGGTGTGTTAATACCATATCGCAGGCCTGTAGCTTTGCCAATAGATTCTCTATTGACATATAGCACCTATATATCTGCTCTAAGTTAGTAACTCACTATATTAGCGAATTGATTTCTCCGGCTGCCGGTTTGAAAGAGGACAAATCTATCGGCAAAAAGGCTAAATTGGCAACACTGACTGTGAGACAGCGGCTGGCTTATGTATCTAAGAGCTTACATTATGTATCTAAGAGCTATTTTGATGTATTTGTAAGCCAAAAACTGTCAATTAAGTCAACAGTTGTGCAACGGTTGTGCCAGCAGACATCAGTTTAGTTGGCCAATGGCGGCTGTTACAAGTTTCAATTCCAGTTACATGTGCGTGCGTATGTACATATGTGTGTATGTATGTGTATGCATGGGCGCGTAATTGTGTAAGGCAAGTTTTACAGTTATTTCGTTTAAATCTTTATCCTTGTTCGCTTTTCTCTTGCGGCTTACTCTTAACTGTTGTTTCTGGCTTAGGGCGTTTGGAAATTGGGATCGTTCGAGTAGTGACTGCAACGAATTGTTATTTACACTTCAGTTACAACTTGAAAACACACACGAAAAAGAGAGAGAGAACGAGAGAGAGAGAGAGAGAGAGAGCAAGAGGGAGTGAGTTAGATTTGGGGGACATGTGTGTGAGAGAGTGAGGGATTAAGATAATTGATATATTAATTTGAATACATGACATTCGTTGGATTAGTGTTAACGGGGAGCACTTAAGTATTAGAGACATGTTCCATAGAGGTATGGTATCTCTATGATATTACACGCATACTCATACACATACACATACATATACAGATACACATACACATATGCGAAAGGGACTGCCTGAAGGATTATTTGATCGATCGATTTGGTCGCTTTGCGTGGAGTGAGTTGAAGGATACACTACGATACCTTGATGGAAACGACCAAATGAAACTTACTTTCTGCCATGGATGACTTTTAATCTGCGGAAATTTGAATTCCGTATAGTTTGGATTCATTTCGCGTATTTGTTCTCTTGTCGGTGTGCCCAAAACTTTGATCACCTCGACCAGTTGATCGACACCAGAATCGCCGGGAAATATGGGTTGTCCCAAAAGCAGTTCGGCCAAAACGCAACCGGCACTCCACACGTCTATTTATGATTAGAATTAGAAATTGTTTACACATTTACTAGGTTCGCCCGCTTACCGATCTTAGTTGTATAGTTGATGGCGCCAAATATGAGCTCGGGGGCCCGATAATACCGGGAGCAGATATACGAGACATTCGGCTCACCGTGCAGCAGCTGCTTGGCGCTGCCAAAATCGCACAACTTGAGTACGGCCGTTTCCGGGTCGAGCAGCAGGTTCTGCGGCTTGATATCACGATGGCAAATGCCCAGCGAATGAATGTATGCCAAGCTTCTGAACAATTGATACATATAGAGCTGTTGACCAAAACAGAATTCAATTCATTCAGTTAATCTGTTCATTTATATATATATATATATATATATATATATGTGTATATTCGTGTATAACTTACCCGTATAAAGTTGATTGGTATCGTCTGCTTGGTTTTGGCATATTGACGTGCCACTTTGTATACAGTTTCTGGTATATATTCGAGGACTAAATTCAAAAATACTTCATCTCGCTGCAATTGAAGGTAATTAAATGGTATTAGAATTAACTATAACTTGCTGTTAATGCTGTTGTTTGTTGTAATGATCAGGCGAGCTCCAAACTGCAAGGCGGGTAGTTTGTTGAAGTTGCAAGTTGACTTCAGCATGCGAAATGTGACGTTCAAGGATCAACGTTCAACGATGGCGATTACGATAACGATAACGATTGTTACGATCGAGTACTTGCGTTGAGCAGGACTACGGATATATACATATCTAGCAGCTAGCCGAAGGAATGCTGAGGGTTTATTTAGTGGCGATAGTTTTGGGTTTTGGCTGATTGGATGTGGTTGAGGGTTTTAGGTGGAGGGCGTGGCGGGGCGTCAAAGCGCCACAAAAAAAAAAAAAAAAAAAATAAAGCATGCACACATCTCTCAAGCTTCTTCTAGCATGCGGACTTCATCTGTTTCTGCTTATATTCTTAGACAGAGAGAGAGAGAGAGAGAGAATGGGAGAGAGAGAGAGAGAGAGAGTGGGAGAGAGAGAGAGATAAGAACGGAAAAACAAATAGAAAATGGGAAAGAAAGACAGAGAGCGATAAACGCATAAGAGAGTGAGCATAATGTGCGAATCTTTCGAAGAGTAGTCCCCTCTTCTTGTTGTAGCATTACGTAATATACCTGAGGCTTGAGCACAGCGGCTAAAATGCCCAAATCGATGGGAAATTCGGCCAACTAATTTAATCGCCATGATTCGTTCATATTGATATGTAATATAATAGAAAGAAAATCAGTTGAAATATATATACATATTCAAAATTGAAATTGAAAGCATTTTCGTGTTGCTGTAACAACTCTAGCGCAAATCAGCTGGGAACCCTCAACACTGATCGTATTTTATTAATAAATGTGTCTCATTCTTACCTTTTCACCGCTCGAATAGAAAAAGTATAAAAGTTTTACAATGTTACAATGCTCCAATCTGCGCATTATTTGCAATTCACGGTTCTGCAAGCGAAAGTAGAAACACAAGGCTTATTCGTATCGAAATTATATTCATTAATAGAGCCAAACACTTACCTTAAATCGTCTGTCTTGTAAAACTTTTTTGATTGCAACCAATTCGCCGGTGTCGCACAGTTTCGCCTGAAAGACGACCCCAAAGCTGCCATTGCCGATAACTTTTGTATCTGTATAGGAAACTTCTTGAACCCGATCGGTGCCTTGGCCAGGCGTTGCAACGACTGTTGTAATTTTGGAACCATCACGACCTGCGCGAAAGAAACAAATGCGAATGGTTAATATTAAATAGCGTATAGCAATACATTTTAGAACAATAGCGGCTATTGCCCGGCTATGCCCGAGCTACAACACTTTACTCATTGAATTTAACGATGTGGAAAAAATTCAAATTTTTCCGTATTATCGTTAACTTGTACTTCAACCCATCGAAGTGGATTTTCGTAATTGAACATGATTTTGATATCGATCAGATGATGAAAAAAAAGTTACAATATACAGTTTCCACCCATTTTTCGGTGAACTTGCCACAATCGGTGAAACACATATTCAAACAGTTTGTAATGTAAAGTTTACAAAATTAATTTGATGTCGATCTTTGTGGATTTTTCGTAAAATACGAAACACTTGACAACATATTTGTTCACAGAAAGCAATTTTCACAGTTACAGGTGAAAATACAGCTTCCACATTGTCACGCTTTGTGCTGTGCGTTAATCGAGAGGCTGTCAGTCAATCCGGGCAAACAACAGCTTGATTTAGATTATATAGTTAAATAAAACCTGTAGGGCGAGAGCACACACAACACGACGAAATTTTTGGAACCAATCTCGGCAGTACCTGTTGTCTCCCAGGCGCCCTCAAGTTTCTCCTTGCTCCTATCGACCTCCTTTGGAATGGATAATGCGACGCTATGTTCGGGCCACAAATCATTCAATTTGCCGATCAACTGTTTCATGCCTGTGGCAGGATCAGATCGAATCGCATCAGTGAGAGATCGGAGAGATAGAGAGAAAGAGAGATATAGATAGAGTGGGGGAGCTCAACAATGGGACAGACGCTGTGAGAGCGAGCGAGACAGATTGATGAAAGGAGCAAGACAGAGGGTTCGGTTCGGTTCGGTTCGGTTCGGGTTCGGGTTCGGGTTCAATCATGGTAATAACATGCAAAACATAACCACGATGTATATATGTATATGTATGTACATGGGCTCGTCCTTTTCTCCATCTTCTTCATCTGCTTTTCTTCGTCTTGCTATTAATTATTATTTTAACCACGTTCATAGGTTTATATTGGTTTACGAAGCGCTTCGTCGTCTCAGCTGCTAAACGTTTTACGTGATCGCGCAAACGGCGATCGCTTCACCTATATTATCTATTCATTTGATTTTATTTAATTTATAATTAATTTTGGCATTAGCGCAACTTTCGACGGGTGGCAGCTGCTGTGCCGCATTTGCAGTTCGAGGCGAGGCGAGACGAGGCGAGATGAGACGAGACGAGACGAGACGAGGCGAGGCGAGGCGAGGCGTCGGCAAGATGAGAATGAGGCATCACTAAAGGTCAACGTTACCAGGAACGGATGGGTGGCTAGGCTAGAGAGGAATGGTTCGTCAACGAAGGGATTTTGGGTGCGAGGTAAGGATAGGAATAGGGAAAAACTAAGCGCTTGTACTTGGATCCTTGTACTGCTTGCCGGCCGAGCCAGAGCTGCGCGTCTGCAGCTTGGGCTTCTTGAGTGCGGCCAGCAGCGAAGCGGACGAGGAGGAGGCGGCCCCAGCAGCAGGAATCGTTGATGGTATTATCGCTTTGCCATTGGCTGGACGGCCCTTACGGCCGATTGCAGAAGACGAGGACGAAGACGACGACGCGGAACTGGCCGAGGATGAGCTCTCCGATGATGATGAACTGGTGTCATCGCTGCTGTCGCTGTTGTCACTGGACTTGGATTTTGTATCGGAATCACTGGAGTTGCTCGACGACGAGTCTCGCTTCTTATGCGTCGCTTCCACCTTCGCCATGGACGCTGTCGTTCGCATCATCAGGCCCGATGATACCGAGCTGCTGCCAGTGGCATTGGGCAACGAATGCCGCTTGGTCTTCGATTTCGACTTGGTCTTGCACTGTGGCTTGCGCGGCGGCATTGGCGTCCAAGGCCGACTGGTGCTGGCGGCCACAACGGCAGCGGCCTCATGTGCTGCACGCACAGCCTCAATCTCCGAGAGCGGCGCATTGTAATAGTGGCGCGACGACGCCGAGTTCGAATTGTTTGAGTGCAGGCTTCTCGTTTCGCCGGCACTGGTTATGGCTGGAGCGCTGCCAGGCGCTGTTTCCCCAGTACCATCCGATTCGCTGGCATCGTTGATGGCGCGCTTCTTGCGACGCACCACACGCACCACCTTGCGGAGGCGACTGGACGCCTGTGTCTTATCCACTTTGCTATCAACGGGTAACAACACAACCGTGAGAGCGTCTATATAATTCGGCTAGCCTAAAATCAGTCGGCCAACGGCCACACACGATCAGCGAGCGGGGTCTCTAGGTCTTTGGGCCGCTTGTTGCTGGTTTTGCTATTTGTTTCTTATTTTTTTTTTTTTTTTTTTTTTCTTGCGTTTTTTGGTGGTTTCGGTCAGGCTTTGGCCTAGTTGTGTTAACAGTGCGCGCGTGTTTTATTTCTGCCCACTTGACCAACTTTTCTCGCGGACGTCTCGTTTGACGTTTAACGCAGACAATTAATCGATCGATTCGCCCGTTCGATCGATCTTCAAATAGAAATGCTCAGCACAAAAACAACGTATAAAAAAAAAAAAATAAAATAAAATAAAAAAGAAAAAAAGCAAAATCAAATAAATAGCAGCAGAAATTGTCGGCGTTTTAGCTTTTAATCATTTATGTAGCTCTGACCCCGCGCGCGCCCTGCTCAGTACACACATACATATATAAATATATATATATATATATATATATATATATATATATATATATATATATATATATATATACTTATATATGCTTTTATATATATATGTGTGTATATATATATATATATATATAAATATATGTATGTAGAAAAAGTATTGATCCGAGAGTAGTTCCGATTCGTATAGCTCTATTATACGTATATAGTAGAAAGGCACTCAAAAGTGATCGATCCGAGAGCTGCGATCTGCGATGCGATCGCTCGAACTTCCGTTGCACAATTGGCCAAACGCTTCTTTCTTGTTGGCTCGAAGCAAACTTGGCGAGGACGAGCGACACGTTAGCGACACTGACAACAACGAACGACAACAACGAACGACAACGACAACAAGAACGAGAACGAGAACGAGAACGACAGCTACAACGACAACTCTTTAACGCCAATTGATGCACGATCTGACGATCTGGCGATCTGCAATCCACAATCCACGATCCGCAATCTAAGTTTCCCAAATCAGCTGATTCACTTTGGCTTCGAAGCCGCTGACCGCACGCACGCGACTGTGGCGCGTTTTAGAAAAAAAAACGAAGAAAAGACCGCGTTTTTGGCTCAGGCTCATGAAAATTTCATAATTATTTCATTTTATTTTTCCTTCATTTATTTCTGTTGTTGTTGCTGTTGTTGCTGTTGGTTTTCGGCACTGCACATTTAATTGCAGGAAAATTGCGAGCATAAAGATGCCAAAAGAACATGCGAAGACGATAAGACAGACAGTCCGAAAGTCAGACAGACAGACAGAGAGAGAGAGAGAAACAGAAAGAGAGACAGACAGACAGTTGGTGGGGTGGTTAATGGGCATCGCAGAGACTTGGACTCTTGATTCAGCCGCATCGTAGATGGACCATACCGAACCGATGGACAGACAACGATGAGCAGCAGCCAAGCGCAGTCAAGCATGCGACATGTATGTAGCCACCCCGCCCCACTCACCACCCCATCGCCGGACGGCTAGCAAACAACACGACCATCAAGCATACTAGTGCCCCATTCACTGACAGCTCAATGCAATGGAGACAGAAAGAGAAGGAACGATAATCAGAGAGAAAGACGGGCAGAGGGTAAGCGGGTTAGAAAGAAAGCGCTGCAATCAAAGGATACGCGCAAAATGAAGCCAAAAATGAAATGCAATTTATTTCATTATAATGAATCAATTAAAAAATAATATCAGCACAAACAAAGCTTAGCCAACAAATGTGCACAGCCAGTAGATACCCTGGATTATTCAAAATAAATGTGGGCAGCAGTCGAAATTTTAATTTAAGCCCGATCGCCACAAGATCTTTCGATAGATCAACATTCATAATTTTAATTTAATTAATACTCCTATATGATATTGTATCTGATCTGTTATATAGCTAGGCTGAAAATATAAATCTATGATATACAAAAACGAATATATACGAATTCTCTAGCTCTCTGGCACAGACCGGCTGGAGCTACAGACTTAGCTAGATTGGCTCAGCTCGTCGGAAATATATGTTGCATGTTGCATGTTGCCTTCTGCTGCCTGTCATAACCATTCTACCCACTTTCGCATGCTATCGTAAAACTAAAAAATATGCTAGAGAATTAAATATTTCGCTTACGTTTCATATTTATGGAACAGTCTCAGAGTTGAGTTATTCACACACTTGCATATCTTTATACCCCTTCTGAACATTTTAATGGGTAAAACGATAAAAAGGAGGCCAAGAAAAATGTTGCATACATGGCATTGAAATTGTTTTCGGTACGGGGCGCCACCCTACCACACCACAAATTGGCATACAAATAAAAAAATAAAAAAAAAAAAACAAGAGCTAAAGAGACGACACATACAAAAGACAATATATGCATACGCATAAAGACAATGCAAGGGGCGACATGGTATTGGGTTGCTTTCATTTAACAAGTGGAAGTTCCACTTAAATTCATATTCAATGCCTAAAACGAAGTTCTAAGCAGATGCAAATCTTAAATAAATAGATTTCAATCATAATTAACCAATTCAGAATCACAAAGTGAAAAGATACTTCAAATGTGGCTAATATATACTCGGGTATGCAACCGTCGGATACATTTCTAGGATTATATAGATCTAGATATCAAATTGGTAAAATCATCAGACTAAATGTCACGTGGGAACGTACATTCTTACGAGCTATATTAAAATGATTCCGGTTTATATCTCAACTAAATGGCGGACATTTGCTTATACTTTCCCATAATTTGCCATAATTAATTATGTTGACGATGTTGTTGTTAATGGCAAGATTTACTATATGGATTCCGG